TGAAGATTTAATTTTTTTTTTAATTTTGAATGTGGAAATGTTAACTAAAAATTTTTTAGTTTTAATTTAGAATTTAAGGTATTAAAGATTAATAATTTTTAAAATTTAAGAAAATTATATATGCTTTTCAACACACTTTGGCGGCATCTAAAACTAAGTTAAAATATTGTTTCTTATAAATTTCTGGGAGATAACAAAATTACACAAATTTTATTTACTTTTACATTTTTTTAAACTAACAAACATAATTTTCATAACAAAAAATATTTACACATTCGTCCAAAATATATTAATTTTTTAATATAAGCGAATTTAATATTTTTCCATTTTGTCGTCTGTCCTTCATAATTTGAAATTTTTTTTTTACTAAAAACCATAAAATTTAAATTGCTTCTGCTATAACTAGTTAACAAGGAATAAGAAATTCAATTACATTAGACGCAATGTCATTCACTTTAGTTTTTTTCTTTTTTTGCTGTAAATTAATTTCGTAAACGCCAACCAAGTCAATATAAAAATAAATCAACTGCCACCTTTGCCGCTTTTAATAACTCAAAATGCCGCTGCCAACACTGAACATTTATAAATAACATTTGCTTTTGTTGTTGCTAGCTCTTTTTTTGCTTTCATATTTCATTTGTGAAATATTTGCTACTCTATTGCATATTTATATTATTTTTCATATCTCTTTAGTATTTAGCTTTAATTCTTTTCAATTTTACATTTCTCATTCACGTATTTCATTTGCTATGCGCCCCTAACAGCACCGTTAAACAAACAAACACACGCACATACTCATACATTTGAGCTTTGGAAAAATATTTCTCAATTTATTGAATACATTTTGCTCAACGTCGCCAGCGCTTTTATCTGTTATTGCTGTTTATTTTACTATTTTGCGCTTAACCGCTTTGTGGCTGACTGCCTTTTGGCCGTGTCTCTCACAGCGCGCTGGCAGCCGCGCGCAAAGTTGGTCAGAACAGAATGTAAAAAACTGGTTGCTTGTGGAGCAGGGGTCATTGGGGGTGCCGGCCGGTGTGTGAAACAATGGGAACGCCTGCGAAACGTACCGGCCAGGCTTTGCGAAGCTTAAATCCAGTTTTGCTGTTGCAGGTACTGGCTAAAAGACACACAATGCAACAAGTTTCGAAAGCTGTACTTGTATTTTTTATAGCTTAATGCTCAGCTGCAGCAGTAATAATTTTAACGAATTTTTTTGTGCTAAAAAATATATATTTTTTTTTAAATATTTTTTTCTTAATTTTAACTTATAAAAAAGTAGTAATTCGTGTAACACCAACCATTTATTGCACGTGCACCTGCGATATCTGGATATTTTCCGGCTGACACACTTGCTAAAACTCGCTGGCTGCTGGTTAGGCGCTCGTTAACACACACGCACACGCGTTCGAATGCCAATAAGCGTTTTGACAGCGCACGAAAATTGTCAAAAAGTCGGGGCGGCGACACACTTTTCGTGTTTTTTGTGTGTGCTTTAGCAAAAAGTTGCAGTATTTTCAGTGAATTTCCATTTGCTTCAACGCGCACTTTGTACACTTTTTTTTTAGGAATATTTTTATTTATTTTTCTTTTATTTTATTTATAAAAAATAAAAATAAATTCGTTTGTACGCAACGCGCGGCGTTATGTGCGAATTTTCTACGTTTTTCTTCTTAAAACTTTTCAATATTTATTTGTTTCTTTACTCACACTCTAGAGCGCAACGTCACCACAGAAACGAAGAAACGAACTCAACGCAAGCGAATGCCAAATAGTACTGAAGTTGCGTACACTCGCGCGCTTAACAATCGCGTCAACTCGGTGCGCTAGCGTTTGCCGTTACTACCAGCTACGATGTTCGAAAATGTTTTGCCACCGCTACTCCTCGTCGTCGCCTGCTGTTTGGATTGTACTCCAAGTGGTTTTTGGTTTTGAGCGTTTTACCGTGGTTCCAAGTGCGCGCTGCGCTGCCAATGTTGATACTAAATGCCAGCGCTGCGTCATTATTTCGATAAAGTATCTCACAGATACTATTGGAAATGTTGCGCGTTGTTGTTAGTGCTGGTGGTGGTAATGACGTCGCTGCTGGCAACATGCTGCCATGTGGGAGAGAGTGCATGTTGCGGAGAGTACACAGAAATGTCTATAAATATTTAGTGTTGGTGTAAGTTGACAGGAACTATTGTGTTTGGATATCAAGGCATACTACTATGCCCAGTTACTGTTTTCTCGAGTAGGCTTTGCTGAGTAGTACGAGTTCATCATAACGTATGTCATTGGATCGTACGCGAGAACTATTCTCTTTTGAACGATGAATATCGAAGAAGATGTAACCACGTACTATATGAGGCTACATCGACATGTGTATTGTTAAGAGCATAACAAAGAACGCGCTCAAACCATGTCGTTCACATGGAGGATGATGGTCAGCGAAAAGCTCTGACGACTCGAGACTCATGAGTGAAAAATGGCAGCAATGGATCCAATGGAAAGACTTGGCGCAAAGGATGTGAAACTGTCGTGATCTGGCAATGAGTGGAGGAGACTGGCGAATTTTTGTGTTCTCAGCTTCGACTGACCCACGGTTGAAGTACAGAAAAAGAGGAAGAGGGTTGTTATTTCGGGGATCTAAACCCGCTGGGCACGAATAGAGAATTTCTTTCTTTGTTACTTGAGATATAGATTTTGCAGGTATGCTTTTAGAGGTCTGAAAAAGCACTGAAGGTTTGAAAAAAAAAAAACACACTCTCGAATTTGAAAATAAGCGGCTAACCAAGCCAAAAATATTCATTTATACATGTATTTTCCATCAAATTGAGTCTTTTTCATCAAGGCCTTGCAGTTCAGGGTCCAAATTAATTTACTTCATTCAGAACATAGGTAAGAAAAACAGCGTGGAGAAAATGTTGAAATTAGTATATATGTTTTTATTAACGACGATAATATCGGAAAAGTCGGAGAAATTTATCGTGAAAATGTGGATATTAACATTAGAGATAGTGGATACTCGTAAAAGGTTTATGTAAGGATGTTGTTCTCCCTGCCAATTATTAGGATTCCATTTTGTTGAGTTATCCTAAGGTATTAGACGGTACCTTCGGTTGTTGTTGTTGTAGCTAGTGCTTAAACTCTGTTTTGATCAAAAGTCAGGGCTCCTGGAAAACACTTAGCGAAAAAGGATCTTAAGGGAGTGGGTTTATCGCGGCATTCAAAGAGGTGGTTCTTGACGGGTGTGGAAACGTTGCACGCAGCACATGAGTTTTGTATGCCGGCGTCTATTCTGAATAAGTAGGAGTTTAAACTGCTACAATATTCAGAACGAAGTTGCGCTAGGGTCACACACTCCAAGAACACATTTCACTGGTTGGTTGATGGGTCCTTTGTGAATGTTGTTCTCTTCGGTCCTTGACTATATTTGTTAGCTATCTTTATTTTTCTCCTGTAATGGTTTCACCCGCCTTAAGCATCAGTCACTTGCATTATGAACGAGTTCCCTTTACTATTGTAAAATTTACAGTTATTTCGATTGAATTGTCTGTTTCTGGAAAGATTTTCTTCAATAATTTTGATGCCGGCACAGTTTCGATATAGTTTTTTTTTTTAAGTAAAATACATATATTAAGTATCTTGTTTTAACGAATTTACGTTTCACGAAAGCTTTGAGTAAATGCGGCATATACATACTAACTGTTACTGTGTCTTCACTATTGTTCAATCTCAATATCCAGCAATATCTTATTGAATGCTGTAAAGATTCAAAGGTAGGAATCATTAAACTGGTTCTATGAGCAGTTGCAGACTTAGCTAGAATATCGTGATGATATCGTTCAACTGAAGGACCTTTTGACAGAGAAACAAAAACGGTGGAGCCAATGAAAACTTGGTCTCTTCTAGAGAAAGGATTCTTTTGTATTAGGAATATAAGGCTCGATAATCGGGGTGGAAATTCCATGGAGGGAATAATATGTGGGCATATTGATATTAATATTTTAACACCTAGTTTGCAACTAAGATAAATCCTAAAATAATGGATTTATCTTAGTTGCAAACTCTCCCGTTCAAGTGAATTTCTGACTTTAGAAAGATGATCGTGATCAACTTTCAACTAATAAAGCAGGCTGAATCATCTGAGACTTTTAAGTAGTCTAAATTATTGGCATTTATGACTAAACGTTGTTGACTGTCAATAATTTTCAATTTATGTTAATGTATGTTTATGTATTATCAATCGGCTATTTTCTTAGAGTCGAAAAAATTATATATTGAATATGTGGTACGCAACTCATCAGCAATTTCGTGTCCGACTTAAGCAACATGCTGCCGCCGTGCATGAAACCACCAACAACTTTACGTACCTTTAGCTACCACTTGCATTATCTATTTTCACAGCTCACTGAGCATTCGTATGTATGTGCATATGTATGCAATACAAACATATATAGAAACAGCTATTAGCGACGCTCAACAGGTGTGCATGTTCGAAAAATTGGTGTCATTGTGCTCCGAGTTTGATGACATCATTTCATTCTCTGTTTTGAGCACAATTTTAGCTGTCGCTTTGCAACACACACGAACGACCAGCAACATCTGAAGTAATTCGCCGAAGATAATATGAGGGTTGGTTGGTGCGTTTGCAACTGTGTGTGTGAACAGGTTTTATAAAGAGAAATTCTGGTGTCTCGCTTTTCGAACTTCCAATTGGAGTTTTGTGAGAGCGGCGTGGAAAATGTTGAGATACATTTAGATATGCAATGTTTAGATATTTTAGTAGTAGTTGACGGGTAGATGATTATGTTGCTCAACATATGTCGAAGTGCTTCACCTTTTATAGGATTTACATATAAACATTGATAACATTAAATTTAAACTTTTATATCAATGTTAAATATTTTGCACATTTTTTAAATATAATTTATTAATTTTATAAGAATATAAATATCAAAAAAGTTAAAGTTTTTAAACAAATTATAAAATATATACATCTTTAAGATTATTTGTTCTGAAGTATTTCGAAAACAATGTGAGCAAAGTTAACAAAAAATAAAAGTTATAAATATTCAAATTTTTTTGAAAAAAAAAACAATACTTTCGAACAAAAATTTGAGAAAAAAAAAAACAAATTTGACAGAAACAGTGAAAAAAAACCAAAAAATAGAATGGATTACGAGGTGTCGATTTTTTTTAAACATTGCTAATTTTTTTATACCTTTCTTGGATATTTTCCAAAAATTCTGTAAAATATTTGTTTTTCTTCTTTGTTTTGAACATGATTTTGTCCTGTTGTTATATATTACATAGATATGTATATTTTAATTTTTTTTTTTTAAATTGCGAAAAAGTATTTACACACACATTTACAACTTTTCCAAAATATTTTTTTTTTTTAATTTCATGAAAAAAACTGATTATGGTGCATCGAAAGTTTAATTTTAATTCAGTTTGAATTTTTTCATTTTATTGTTCAGAAATTTTTCCTGCATTTTGTCAAATATTTATTTAATTTTTTTTCTTTTGAAAAACAAATTTTTTCTTTTTTGTTTAGAAGAACAAAGTACCGCGGAAAAACACCACATTTTTCATCGCATGAGGATATTTACTATATCCAAATTATAAATTTTGTAGCAAATCGGATGGGTGACCTAATGGAAAGTATAATCCATATATCTTATATCATACAATTTTGAGAGAAAGAGAACTGAGTATTTTTAATGGAATTGTAGCAGTATTGACAGATTTGTATAATATTTCCAACACAATAATTTATTTACATAAATTCGGTTTTGCGTTTCTTATAATTAACAAAATTTTCCAATTATTGGCAACTCTATTTAAGAAATATTCTGAATTTATTGTTTATATTATACAAATTTTCCCCCAAAAACTGCAAACTGCTGGCAACACTCCTTAAAACATATTCAACGTATTTTTATGAACCCTTTCGCTTTGGTAATCGAATTATATTTATCTTATAATAAATATGCTTAAAAATTAAATTTTCAAAACAGTTAAATAAAAGGAAACTCTTTAAATAGGTGGCAACTCTATTTAAAAAAAATCATAAATCAAAAGTATTATATTCCTTCAATTTAATTTGTACAAATTTGTCATTATATATATTTTTCAAAAAAAAAAAAAATAAAAAAAATAAAAAAATTGCATACTGCAAAAAAAAAAAAAATTGCATACTGCTGGCAACACTCTTTAAAACATATTCAACTGCGTGTTTTTATGAACCCTTTCGCTTTGGTAATCGAATTATATTTATCTTATAATAAACATGCTTAAAAATTAAATTTTCAAAACAGTTAAATTAAAGGAAACTCTTTAAATATGTGGCAACTCTATTAAAAAAAATCATAAATCAAAATTATTACATTCCTTCAATTTAATTTGTTCAATGTTGTCATTATTTATATTTTTTCAAAAAAAAAAAAAAAAAAACAACAAAAAAAATTGCATACTGCTGGCTACTCTGCTTAAAAAATATTCAACTGCGTGTTTTTATGGACCCTTTCGCTTTGGTAATGAAATTATTTTTATCTTATAATAAATATGCTTAAAAATTTAACTTTCAAAACAGTTAAATTAAAGGAAACTCTTTAAATAGGTGGCAACTCTATTAAAAAATTCAAAAATCAAAAGTATTAAATTCCTTCCATGTAATTTTTACAAATGTGTCATTTTATATATTTTTTCAAAACAAAATTGCATACTGCTGGCAACTCTGCTTAAAAAATATTCAACTGCGTCTCTTCGCTTATGGTAATAAACTTTTATTTATTTTAAGAAAAAAACGGCAATAAAACTTAAAATTTCGAAAAGGTAAACCAAATGAAAATCTTTAAAAAAATGGCAACTCTATTAAAAAATATTTTAAATTAAAGTTCTTATATAATTAATTCATTACAATTGAATGTCATTAATTATAATATTTTATAAATTATTTCACCAAGAAATTGCAAAC